TGGTAATAGTTGACGTTGACGTACTATGATAGTTGAAGGACATTATAATGACCAAAATATAAACTATTTTCTCTAAAGTTTTTATTAAATAAAACACTTCATACCACAAACATACAATCACTCATTGTGAAAAATATAGTTTTCTAAAAGAATATTCATGATTTCAGGAAAAAATCTCATGAATGTTTGAAAAATTGGCATTTGGATCATGAATTTTGTTGTTGCAATTAGTGTCAATGGGCCTGATTACTTAATGTTACGGGATACGTAAATATTTTAACAGAAATAAAATTTTGTAATTCATAGTTATGCGCATTTGCACTAAGCTTCTCGATGGCTTGGGATCAAGTCTTGCGATCTCTGCCATCTATACTTAACTTACTTGCCTTCTCTTTTCGAATAATACTATAATCACCATTCCTAACTCCAAGCCGAAGACATTCAATAAATGCACTCAGTACTTGACTTTGACTATCTAATCAAATATTATTTATCAATCAACTCCCACAAATAATAAGTATACTTCTAAACCATACATAAATGATTTAATTTCAAATGTCACTATATTATAAACAAACTAATTCTTGTAGATAATAAGACAAAACTAATTCAACCAACTAGATGACTATAAAGTTAATACATGCTTTAAAATATTTTATTTATCTAAGGAATCGAAATGAAAAATTAGGTTCATCTTTACTCAATTACTTGTCATGGCCCCGCAAATTTATTAACATGTCAAAAAATGGTGAAATTAATCAGTACATCAACTCATTCTCATCCCATGATTGTTGAGTATAATCATGCAAGATTAGCAAGAGTTTTGAAATTTAGAGATTAACGAAACTAAAAAATTTAGAGAATCGTCGTTTATAGTTTGCAAAATATCGTTGCTTCATGGTACTGATACTAAGTTGACAATTCTACATTGTTTCTACATATTTAATAATTTATTTGATATGAAATATTTGAATAAAATAATATATGGATTGTGATTTATCCACCATTTATACGATAGACATAAATTAAATTAATTATTAAACTAGAATACAAATAACCAAAATATGAAAATCAAAGTATCAAACACAAAATATATACTTAAGGGAGACTTAGTGGGCTAGCTAACCATGGAGGAAACACGCTCTAATTTTCAGATTTGGCTTCATGTATGTTTTTAATTTAGAGAGATAAAAAAAATATTTACTGTTATTGGTTATAATTCTTGTCTTTGTTTGAAGAGACTCAGGTTCAAATCTTAACACTGATGTATTTTTGCTAAATAAGCAACAAATAACTATAATGACATTTGTAGCCTTCCTACTTTCTCTCTCGTTGCAAGGAATTTGAAATGGAGAAAATTCAACCCATGAATCTCCATTATAATATTTGTAGAGAAGAGATGTAGATGCATGAATGAAGTGGTTCAAGTAGTACGTGGAAGTTTGGTGTTTCTTTGACCATTAGACCATGATGATTCTGTTCTACAAGATCCATGTAACCTTAATGGTCTTTTTTGGTACCTGACACATCTGATCCTTCTTCACTGCAGCTTCATGTGGCAGCCATAGCTCGGTCTTTATCATACTTTCTATTAGGCAATCAACTCTAAGATGACCTGGGTTTCCACGACTGAAACAAATAACAGTACATTTCTCGGTGTCTATGGCATTTTGTCTCCTTCATTTTTACTAGTATTTCCATTGCCGAGCTTCATATCAAACATTCTATCATTGTTAAATCTTCCAAAATCGGTGTTCTAGTTTCTTTATTAATCGTAAATACCCTAGTTTATTTTAGAGAAGTTGCTCTTATATTTCTTCTTCATCTTCCATCAAATGGGATTTTAAGGCTAGATCATTTCTCTTGCAAGGCTGTTTATTATCCTCAATTCTTAACACACTTTCGTGAGTAGTTAGTGAGCTTATTAACTCACTTAATTCAAACTTAGCAAAATCTTTTGATTCTTCTATGGTCATTACCTTTGGTCTCCAAGACCTTGGTAAGACGTTTGAAATCTCACTATCTAAGTTTGCATTAATGTAAAATTTTCCACGAGTCATTAATCCACTTACTATATTTGTGAATCTTTCATACATTTTAGTAATATTTCTATTCTCGCTCATTTTAAACAGTTAATATTCCCTGACTAGCATTCTAATCCTGGTATATTTAACTTTAGACGTACCTTCATATGTAGTTCCATAATATCCTAGATTTCCTTTGCAATTTCTGCTACTTTGCCATATTCTTCTCTTTCAAGAGCACATTTAAGAATATCTTAGCTTTAGCGTTGATTTGTAAGCATACCAGATCTTGTTAATACCAACTCCTGATGTCGTTCTCAACATGATCCGATCCTCTTTTGATATTGATCAGGACCTTCATGCCATAGACTTGTAGAAAGTCTTCCATGCAGCCTTTCAAAAAGGCATAGTTGTTGCCGTCAAGTTTTGGTGGTCTTGTTGCAGATTGTCCTTTAGCTTGCGTGATTGGAGGCAGATGACTCATCATTTTAGTTGATGAGCTTGTAGCTTCCATCCTTGGAGTTTGTTCCTTGTTCGAGACATGCTCTGATATTGATTGAAGAACACGTGTATCACACAAATAATTTTATAAAATGAGATAAATAAACATGATTAGTTATGGATTGTTTGTCTCGACTTGTGTGTCGGGCTTGATCCATTGCTAAAGACCAAGAGTTTCATGAGATGGGCTTTGGCCCTTATCAAGTCCTCTTCACCTTGGATGAACAAGGTTGTGTTATTGTTGAGAAGAAAACACACTATAGAGGAGTAGGAGAGACACATGTACACATGATGTTTTGTTACCCGAGTTTGGCCTATTGGTTTACGTCTCGGCTCAAAGGTGGATTACACTTTGAGACCTAGTGTCTAGGTTTTTATCTTATCTCAATCTAACTCCAAGTGGGTCCCTTTGGGTGGAACTCATACCCTTGACTAGAGAAGTGCAATATACCCCTTTCTCTATTCCTTGCAAGCACTCACGCTAAAGAGAGACACTACACAACCTCACAATCACTCCCATTTTGGACACCTAATAACATAGTGTTTGATCTGGCTTTGTGTAGGATTGCTTTGTCCCATTCCGCGAGGCTTGTCTTGTTGCTTCCTCCTATTTATACTTCCTTGTGTTGCAACGGTCTTCTCTTGATCTTCCTTTGATTTGAGAGATTCTTTCCTGCAATTATATATTCACAAATAGGAAAAATAATATGGTTTTTCCTTTGTAGAAAGGGAAAGTTAATCCCAATATTAGGTGCATCGATGAAAAGAGAAGGCTGGAAAACAAATCATATCCAACAAAATTGATACCAAGCTATCTACCCTTAAGTTTGAGAGTTGTTGGGGAGGATATGGCTGTCTAGGAAAGCCTCTTAACCAGAAACATAATTTTCTTTATTCTTTCTTCTTGCTTCCACATTCCTCCTCCATTGACGAAGAGCACATAAAGAAACAACGAGAAATAAAGAAGAGAAATCTTCCCTATTTCATCAGATCCGGGATGTGATATGGTTCTGAAGGATGAACTGAATATGGACAGTTCCAATAAGATTTCTTTCTTGAACAAAAACCCATTTTTTTTTATTTTTTTCATCTATTCCATGATCGGAATGTGGGGGATACACGTTACACCACGATTTTGAATAGGGAAGATATGGATAAAATATGTTCTCTGAGTTGAGTTAGGGTTGATGGAGGTCCATAAAGCTTTCTACAGTGTGAGTTTTTCATTTTGAGATTGTTGGAGGTCCCCATAGACTCGTTGAAAAGTTTACGAAGGTGGCACCGACATCATAACTCTGGTCGAACTTAGAGAGGTGGGTACTGTTGCAAAGTGGACGATCCTAAGATCATTATACATTTGACAAAATCAGATTTACCGCATACCAGGAGTAAGAAAACGCTATCCAGAACTTGAATTGATTGATCTTTCGGACATGATACTATACTCTAACCCTTAAAGATCAAAATCTAGGCCTTAATTCTCTAAATCTTATACCCCAAGATCAATTTAATTAGAAACAATAATCGACGGTTATGATTCGTCCAAATATAGGCAAAAAAATCAATACACCATCTTAGGGTTTATAGTTTATGATTTAGATAATTAGGACCTAGGGTTCACTCATTAAGGGTTAGGGTATAGTATCATGCCCAAAAATCCTGCTAATCGAGGTCTAGATAGCGTTTTCGTACTTAAGGTGTCGCAACCGTCCCCTCGCGATCGGGGGATCTGTCGCGAACTGCTCGGAGTCGCCATCGATCTTAGTTGTGGTGGATCGAACACCCTTTCTGGTTTTATTACTTATGTTAAAACCAGAAATCTGGTCTGCGAATTTTTTTAGATTTTCTAAGTTCGGGAGTACAGTTACGTATGGGAAAGTGTATTCACACCCCACAACGCCCCAAATGGGTACTACTTGGAATCGATAAGTTTATGATATATTGGGTGTATTATAATTTGTGCCTTATTTACGTATTTAATTATATGATTCAATTAATTAGGTGTTTATTATTATAATTCGATCATACGTCTATTGACGTAAATATCAAACATAAAGAAAGAGTTTGGATTAGTTGGACTCGAACCTATTGGTTGCCTACGTACCCGAGTAGTCGGGATCAAAGTCCACGTAGTTCGATTTTGTGAGTTTTAAATGTTGAGTCTCACACATTAGGAATGTGGAGAAAATTTGTTAGTTGGACTCGAACCTATTGGTTGCCTACGTACCCGAGTAGTCGGGATCAAAGTCCACGTAGTTCGCTTAAAATGAGTGATTTGAAAAGTTGACGTTTGCATGTTAAATTGATCACGATTAAGATGATAATTTAAATTTGTCCTTTCAGAAAATGCAATTTGGTAATTATGGAATTAGGAGGTTGATAATTAGGTACAGTAAATGTATGATAAGAAACAATCACCATCTATCCATCCATAATCTCGTATTATGAGAAAATTTGTAGGAAAAATATATATAATTTGGTAATAAATAAAAGGCAAAGGGTTGATAAATTAATGGAACTAAATACTAGGCAGTTTACTTTAGTTTTAGACGCACAAACAAAAGTTCTTAAACGACTTTTCCCACCTCGCTCTTACTCGATCTGTCTCGAACTCTCCTCTTCTATTCGATCCCTCTGCCACGAAAACGACCCAGAGAAACACCAAACCCGATCTGCTCTCTCCCTCAAATCGATCATTTTCCCTCTCACTCTCGTCGTCCTTGCGTCGCCACTACACGCCCTGCATTTCCATCTTCTCTTCCTTCTATGAACGACGAGGGAAAGGAAGAGCTGAAAGGCGACTGCGGCGGCGAAGGGAAGGCGTCGATCGACGCGATGACGATGCTGGCGGCGAAGAAGTTCAGAGGTAGGTGTTTTATGGGTTTGCATGTTCGATTCAAATGCCCGATTTAGTTGTTTTAGGGTTCTGATCATGTTTTATTTTCCCCTTTTTTTTAAAGTTTTGGAATCGGTTGGGGGAAAATGATATACGGCAGCGGACTGTATCGGCGGTGGCGTAGGGGTGAAACGCGCGGCAAGGGAGAAACACCAGCGCAGCGAGGGTAAGCTCTGCCTTTCCGTTTTTTATGTGTTTTGAGTAGTTTCAAGGCTATTTTAAGGTTATGATGTTTCTGGTTTTTGTCAAGACGAGAAGGCTCTTCTAATCTTGATTTCACACATATTAGGGTTCTAAATCAAGTTATATTAGATTTTTGGCAATCTGGATGATAAACTGTGATTTCACTCGTATTATGCATGAGTTTGATGTGAAACATCTATGCTAAGTGAGGCTTTACCTCCTGAAAATACGTGGGTTTTGGTTTTGGTATTGGTGATTTGCTTTGGTTTATGATTTTGAGTTTGATGTTTTACTTCTGTAAAAGTGTTGTGAGGCTTTACCTCCTGAAAATACGTGGGTTTTGGTTTTGGTATTGGTGATTTGCTTTGGTTTATGATTTTGAGTTTGATGTTTTACTTCTGTAAAAGTGTGTATTTATAACTGGGTTTTGAGACTTTGAGTTTTGGCTGTGACTTGTATGGGCTTGGGGGTAATGATTGGTTCTGGGAAATCTGGTTTATGTGAATCTGTAATTAATTACTTGGTCATGTAGGGTGCTTGGATTAAACTTGCATAAACAACTTTGCCATATAAAGAAAGAGACGATGACACACTAGTATACTAACACATATATGAAAAAGATAAAAGAGCATGAATATGTCAGATGACCTTTTGCTTCTGTTATCACTTTACTTCTGTTATGGTTATGATAATATAAAATATATTTAAGCAATTAGTATTATGAGTAAATTGTGTTTCAATTGGAGTGGTTTTAAAACTGATGGAAGCTTATATGGGTTTGAAACTGGAAAATTATGTATGTTCATGGTGATTTGGATATCGTACAGTCTAGTTTATGTGGGGATTTGATGATGAATGTTCTAGGCGAGATTATGGTAATGATGTTCATGTATGGTTTCTTGTTTGGTTGAAAAGAAAGGGGAAGTCTAGATGTTTGGGGTAAATTTTGAATGATCCTAGTTTAGTATTTCTTTTAAAACGAACTTGTTAAAGGAAGGTAGAAGTAGATGATTAAGATGGTTAGGATAATGATAGGGATTGTTGATTACCAATCCTTCTCTTTGTAGTTTGGTGGAGAGGTTTAGCTGCTTTCCTCCAATTTTCTTGCCGCTGCCTTCTCTTCTTTTAATTCTTCTTGTCTTTGTTAGTTTGTTATTGTTGTGCTATGCTTTTTCTCTTTATGTGTGTCGCTGGTATGATGTTGGCTGGGGAAGAAGGACGGAAATGGAGTTTTTGATCCGCCTCTTCTCTATTTTGTGTCTGTTTTTCAGGTATGGTTGAGAAGAAGAGTAGATAAATTTTGCAAAGTTACTGTTTCTCAAGCTTTTGTGTTGTTATTGTGTTTAAGGTAGAAAGTGGTAAGGGATTTTTTGTGTTTGGGGAGTTACTGGCGTGTGTGCTGTTTGTAGAAAAGAAAGAAGAAGAAAGAAGCTCTCTATGTGCAAAGGGGAGAAGAATCTGATTGTCTCTTTGAGCGGAAGGGAAGTGTCCTGAGGAGGAGGGGGGGAGATGTACTCTGTTTCTTTCCTACAGCTCGAGGGGAAGGAGAAGTAGAAGCAGAAGAAGTAGAAAAAGTCCAGAAGTGGAAGAGAAGAAGGGATGCAAGGAAGAACTCTGCCCCTCCCCCCCTTTTCGCTCAAGGAACAGATGGGTTTTTATAGAAAAAGAAAACTTGCTCCTCAAGCTTACAACAGTGCCGGTTCTGGGTCGGATCGGTCTGAGTTCGGTCGGACCGATATGGGTTTGGTCAGACCTGATCTCTGACCGGTTTGACTTTGTTGACTGGTTTAATTGAGGGTTCTTTGACTTGGGCAGTTTTATGCTTAATTGTAAAATTGTAATTATTAATTGTTCTAATTATGTAGTTAATTTATTGTAATTGTCTTAAGTGAAATTGTTATTTCTTTCTTTAGGTATCCAGATCAAGATCCAACCTCACAATCTCATATGTCAAACAAACGATCAACTTCTATCACAACCAAAATCAAACACAAGTCTAATTTGTAGAGATTTGCTATTGCTAATCTCATTGAAAACAAAACCCAACCCAAAACAAATACGACTTTAGTTAGTAGTTTTGTTTAAAATTTGCTATTGCTAATTTAAACAAAAACTAAAATTTATTTAATTAAATATGTTTTGCCCGGACAAAAAGCGGTGTCTACAGTTGCCCCCCTTTGTATATCTCTTGGTATCGAGAGGTATACAAAGCTCTTTTTAAGACACCGTATTTTGACACTAATAGCGATGGGTTGATGGTTTGGGTATGACGATGCATTCATGTTTTTTAGTTAAACAAAACGAAAGATGGTATAAGAAAGCAATCAAGTTGTTCGGGATATGATGGGCAGAACAAATCGAATAAAAACTGCAATCACGTTGTTCGGGGTATGACGGGCTGAACAATTGTTGATAGTAATGTGATAAGGTTGTCTGGGATATGACATGCTAGACATTTTCTTACAATGCAATCAAGTTGTTCGAGATATGACGGGCTGAACATTTGTTGATCGCAATGTGATGGGTCGTCCGGGATATGACACGCTAGACATTTTTGGACAATGCAATCAAACTGTTCGGAGTATGACATGTTAAACATTTATTGATGGCATAGCTTACGGGGTTGTCCGGGATATGACACGCTAGACATTTTAATGCATGGTGATGATGAGTATGAGAGTGTTTTGTGAGATAATCATGAGTAATGTTAATGAATGATAATATCGTGTTATGAAAGACACGTGAGAGAAAGAGTGTGATGTAGCCTAATTTGGATTTCTATTTTTATGAGGTGTAGACTGACTTGGAATTTTTCCGCGGCGGTATAATCTGGTTTGTTTTTCATGGCAGCAGGGCCTAAGTTAGCTTTTAGGTATCTTGGCGGTAGGGCCTGTGTTGGTATTAGGTATTTTGGCGGCAAGACCTGAGTTGGTATTTAGGTATCGTGGCGGTAGGGCCTGAGGTTGTTTTTTAGTTATTCTTGGTGGTAGGACCTGAGTTGGAGCATCGTATGGCGGGAAAATGCAAGATGTTGTATGACATGATATGACATGATGTAATGTCGTGATTCGAAATGTTGTTGAAAGGGTATTGCCTGATTGATATTTACTTTGGCTGTGAATTCCTTGAAGCTAGTCATTTAATGAATGATATGATATGAAGTGCATTCAATAAAATGTTGTATGATAAGTGATATGATGATGTCTTGAAGAGTATGCGTATGAAAAAGTATGATTGCTCCTCATGGTTTATCTATTTTATGTCGAGGATTCTCTTAAATCGACCATCCACAAGGAACTATATCATTGTCCCCTTTAGTAAACGTTATTTATAGTTTTGGTGGTGCTGGAGTAGCATGGGTGCTACTGATGGGTTCATTCTTCCTTTGGCGTGAGCCATCATCGCAAGGTATTGGGTTTGCTATCTAGTATCTCTTCTTTGTCTCCTCAGTGATCCCAAGGCATGTAATTTTTGGGGACTACTGAAAGGTTGGTCCCCTACTTTCTCCACCTTACACATCGGTGCTTGAGTGTCTAATGTGTTAGCCGTATGATCTTCTTGTTCATGAGTTGTGTTTGGTAGGTTGATTTGTAAGAGGCTTTTGTACCATGGTGGCCTCGGGATAATGTGCTCATTTAGTTTGATTGATATTATTGCTAGGCGAGTATGTTGTGCTTGGCTAAGAGGAATTTATCATCTCTGGGTATTGTCTTGTTGATGTCGGTTTTACAAGATATGCTTGATTGACTTCGCCAGAAGGTGTGAGCCACAGAATAGGCCATGAGAGGATAGCCGATCGAACCGTTCCTCCAATTGGTGAAGAGTATCTTGAAATCTCACAATGAATTAGTGAGAAGATTGTGTATTGGACTTGTGAGAATTCTAATTCTCCATCTTCAAGGACACATCAAGTTGTATCTCAGGATCTGTTGTGCACTTTCATCTTGTGGTATGTCCCACCGGTGCCAACTGTTGGGTTGTTTGTTGCTCAAGCTAGGGTTCCACGTATCTTCTCTTGAGTAATCATGGTATATTGGTAGGCATGAGCTCCTTATAGCAAATTTGCTTTAAGGATGATTTGACGGAATAGTAGGATAGTTTGAACAGAGTGATTCAAGATTACTGAGATTTCTTGTTTACTCATGATTTGGAGAGTAGGGAAACCCACTTTATGAGCATTTGACCTTCTTTCTTTGTTGGGTCACACCATTTGCCCCCGAGAAGATGTTACTTGCTTTCCACTCTTCAGAACAAAGTGTGACTTTTACCGATCTTGACTTAAGATGAATGCAAACAACATTTGTAAAATCTTGTTTCAGAAAGCATAATGGGAACATAATTTTAGAAAGCAAAGGCTTGCTTTAGAGAAGTGTGTGCAATATGTGAAACACTGTTCATTGTGTGGTTATTGCCACAAAAACTTTGTTCTTTTAAGAAGTAAAGCCAAGAGAATATCCACAAGCCCTCACTCTCATTCTCACGCTCAATTTCGCTCACACTCATTCCTATGGGTGCTCCGAGTATACGACACTTCGACTGCTATCAAGATTCTCGTCACCATGTTGATGGAGAAAATGTGTACAAGGTATAGGCTGGTTGGGAAGAGTTCGAGCGATCTTTGTTTGGTCCCGGGGTGAAAGTTCTCAAACTTTCCTGAAAGGTGGCTCTTGCTTGGTATGAATCCTATTGTAAGAGTCCTCATATTATGAAAATTCTGCTTTCCTCAAGTGATGTCGGTAAAGGAAATCCCTGTGACATCTAGGCCTAGTCATATGAAGCTTTATATTTAGGGGTTTTCGGCTTGCCCCCTAGGTATGAGTCCTGTCGATAGATGATGGGGATCATATTTTCTCATCGTGAAAAGTTCCACGAGGGGGGATATTACCTTGCCCCAAAGTGTGAGACGGTTGATGGATAGGGAGATCCTTGTTGAGGAAGTCTCATTTTCCTTGATAATGGTAGTTTATCTTGGGTATATTTGTGGCATAT